AAATAATTAATATAAAATCTTTGAAAAGAAAAGTTCATTTTTCAAACGATTTTATTGTTGAAGAAAATATTAGTAATATTCGATTTTTTGATCTAGAAAGTCATAGATTATATTATAGTTGAAAATGATTGAATATAATTTGTTTCATAGTACAGTACCATCTTGGTCAGCTATACTTGCGTATACACCAAATATTATTTCAAGTGAGATACATTGGTCTGTTCAACACTATTTGCAACAGTTATTCATCACTAGTTATGATGCTAATATGTTTGACAATATTCTTCGCCACTTTCTCAGTTTACGAACGTTAAATATATTTAGTCATGACAATTCTTCAATGTCTTCAAAGCTCACATCATTCACACATTTAACTTCGTTATCAATACATGAAAATTCGACAATGACTTGGATGGAGTCGGTTCTTTCACTAAGATCTACACTAATCCATCTTCAATCGACTGGTACGAAATATTCAGACGTATCTGTAATTGATAATATATTCAATCCTTTATTCGATGGGAGCATTTAATTCAAGCAAAATTGTCTTTGCTTGATAAATTTGAACTTTTTTGTTTCTTTAACATTCTTGATGAAAATAAAAGTAGTGCTAGTTTGAAATCACTAACCAGATTATTTCGAACATCATTTTGACGGGAAATCAAACGTTGATTTTCCATATGTGATTATATTAAGAATCAAGGGAAAGCTCATCTCTATTCAATACCTATTTGCGAGAGTTACTTTAATTATCATGGTGAATCAAACAAAATCTCGTGTTCTTCTTTGATTACATCGTAAAAAGATTCAACGATCATGGATAAAGTGCGTTATATATCATGGAATTTGAGAAAAGTAATGAATAATATCAACATACAGAAGATAAGCACTATTTCTCTTTTTTTTCAAGTTGTCAACCTTTCCTAGGGTAAAAATTATTGCGAAATATAGCAATTGACTTTTGACTTATCGAATTTCGAAAATTTTTTAAGTGCACCTCTAGCCATTTATAATGATTCTTAATAGAAGAAAGATATACTAACTAGATATCTAATGTTCTTGTTTTTTACACGTTCTTCATTATTTTTTTCTAAATTTGAAAAAAAAACATTGAATACATTCATTGGGTTTGATTGGTAGAAATAGATTCAATTGGTATTAATTGAAAAGTTTCATCTTTTCAAAAGTTTAATATTGCTGTCCATAATGTTATTTGAATTAAAACATAATCGTTTAACAGCAACTTTCAATATTCGCCATTGATGATAAGATAATTAGTTACTTCTGATCAAAGACAGAAAGAACGAAGGTGTTAGATTTATAAATGAGAATTTCTTACTCAAACATTTGAGACTTACATCGAAATATAAGTTTTCTTCAATTATTTAAAACAAATTAGATCAAATGTAATGCATACTAATTAGCTCGATTCCTACATTATCTTTTCGAATTTAACTAAATCATTGTATCAAAGAGGCATTTTATTGAAATTCATCATGCATATATGTTCTATTTATTTTATTTTTATATCTACAAAGAAAGCAATATTATAACTAGCGTACATCATTATATTCAACTACGAAAGCATTCTTGAAATATTTATTTAGTGAATCAAACATAAGTAGTTCTTCATTAAACTGTTATGATTGAAGATGAAAAGAGTTTATTTATTAAAGTTTCTTTTATTTTTCTTGACAACATCTTGTCTGTTTATAGGATGTTACATATTGATTAATGCTTCAATAGATTGTCATTTACATATTTAATGCAATTGTTGAGTCGTTGGAAAGTGTGACTTTGTTCGATGTGTGTTCGTCATTGCTATTATACCAACTGTTTGTTGTTGTCGTGATTTCCAAAATTTTGTTAAGATAGTACCAAGACAAATAAATGGATAAATAATAAAAATAAAATAATTTAAAAAGTCAAAATATGGTTCAAAATGTTCACCAACATCTTGAGATAGACCACATAATTGTATAAATTCTAATATCATCATAGGTAAATTAAAAACAAGATAAATCATTGATATTGACACAAGTATTATAATTATTTTTCGATGTTTACGCCATTGAATTGGTCGACGAAAACGAACATGATTATGCCAAATAACACGAATAATTAATGATATACTAAATATTGCAACAAGAAGAGTAGCTAAAATATCATTAATAAGAGTATCATACATTAATAAAATATCATTTCGATATAAACATGATGATGAACATGATTTTTCAGTGTAATCATATATATTTTCACATGGTGGAAAGCCCATAACAATCAAATAGTAAAGAGGACTGTAAATAATAATTAAAGTTATAGGTAGATAATGAACAAAAATTCTTTTTCTACTAGTTGCTACCCATCGATCATGAAATATTAATATATGCCTTTCAAATGAACCCCAAGCCATAAGAATTGTCATAGTATCAGCATAGCCATCACCTACAAACCACCATAGTTGACACATAGCTGGTGTTTGTGGCCAAACATAACCCAAACGAAGATAATTTAAATAGATAGGAAAATGTGTAAGCAAGTAAATAAGTCCACCAGTGAGTTGAATAATGATAACACGATGATTTAATGAACGACGATGTTCTCGATTATTAAGTAACAGATAAAGAACCGTAAACGAACATATAATCGCTGGTATAGAAGGAATAAGAAGCATCCAGAAACGAATAGTTGGAGATATAGCTGAATCATCATCGAAATCATCATGATCATCATGATCATCGTCATCAGATAAATTGAGAAATTCGTTATTGTATGAAAAGTTCATATCCATTATTGATGAATAGAAAATGCGTATGAGTGTATATATGTGTATATGCTCAACTTCACTTTTTTTTATAAATGTTGCAAATATACCACAAAATGAAACTATGCAGATGTAAATTAATTGACGCCTACAAAGAAAAAAAAATTAACTTTTTAAATTCTGTCAGAACCTTATCTTCCAATTTTCTTTTTGTCTGTTTTTAAAATAATTCAATTATTTTTCTCTTTAATTATCTGTCATATACACGTTTTGTTGTGAAAAACAATGTCAAATGAATGTTGAAGTGTACAGGGATAAACTTTGCACTTCTACCTCTACAAGGTCGTGACAAAACATTGTTGATATACGATCAAAGATCGAATATTAATAACTTCTCGTTATAATATATGATTGCATTTCCGGATTATTAAGGTCTTCCTGTCAAAAATATCGATTTTTGACCTTTCTACACCGTCGAATAGCCCACATTTTCTACTTTTAGAATCAATATAATTCTTAATTTTTACGATGGTTTTTTCACGATTGTCAACAGACTTTGTGAAAAATTCACAAGCAGAAAATGTTTGGAAAATTGTAGTTTTTGAAGCTCTGTGACTTTGCCTATAGACTTCTGACTTGGAGAACATATCCTACGTACTCTGGCAAGTGTGTTTTATACATTCCTTTCATATAATCTCTCGTGAATCGCTCTGCGAAAGAAAAAAAAACATGAATTTTCAAAGTTCAACTTCGTTTTGTATTTTTCTCCAAACCAGTTTTTTTTTTGTGCGTCTCAGATTTTTCAGCCATTTTACATGTTAGAAAGCTCGGGAAAATTTTAAACTGAAGAGAAAATTATACTCCACAACTTAGCAGAGCTGAATTTTTTTGTTTTCAACTTAGGTTTTGAGAAAAATGGATCTCTTTCCACAGAAATATCTGTATTTTTTTCAACTTTTTCGAAAAAAAAACCTAATCTCAAAGATTGATAAAGAAGAATTTGAAAAATTGGACTCTGTTAAGTTGTAGCGGCAAGTGTTGACTATATTTTGACGGTAACCCGAGATCTGTATCATTAGATTTTGGAACAGAAATCTGAAACGCATAGAGCCCTACTTTTTGACCCTGAATATAGGAATAACTCTTGAAAAACTCATATTTCGGGCTGAAATTTTTTCTATAAGCTTTCTAGAACTGGGCACATATTTCCTGAGATTTTCAGCAAGATCGATTGTTCTGAGGCAAAAACAGATTTTTAACAGAGAGGTCTTAATTAAAAAGATGATGAAAAAAAATGTCCCAAAATAGATAGAATCAAGCAATCTTCCTGTAATTAGCAGCAACAGCAGCTACATCGTTTTTGACATTTTAATTGTGCAGAGTTTGCATTAACATCTTTTTCTCTTTCGAGAATTTCAAAAAAAAAATATCTGAATAGGAGTCAATCGGGATGGATAGAATTAATTGATAACTGAAGATAGATTTGTAAAAAATCACCCGAACCAGAGATCCAACCAGACCACGTTTTTGAGGCCTCTCAACTTTTTCAAGCAAATAAAATAATGATGACAGACAAGAAACCAGAGGTCCAAAGAGACCACTAAGGCTACTACCCTACCTGAGCCTGGCCTGCTCGTCATGGGCACGAGACACAATTTTCAGACCAGCATCAATCACAGATCCAAGAAGGTTGTTGACCTGTTGGTTTGACTAGGCCTGTCATTTACACTGGTCTGAAAATCGTGGCTCGTGCCTATGATAAGCAGGTCAGACCCAGGTAGGATAGTAGCCTTAGTGCTCTCTTTGGACCTCTGGTTTCTAGTCTGCTGTAATCATTTTATTCGCTTGAAAAAGTTGGCAGGCTTTTGCCAGTCCGTCCAAGGCCTCCAAAACGTGGCCTGGTTAGACCTCTGATCCGAACTATTTATTATTTTAACTGGTCTTTTTATGAATATATATGTAATCATATGAGAAACAAAAAAAAGATTCACTATCATGTGCAGTTAAGTCTCAATTTTTTAAATATTTTATACTATGCATTATTTATATTCTAAATTTAAACAAGTAATCCTATTAGAATGTGTTTATTGTATGATTTTAATAGAGAAAAAGTATAGAACTTCGAATGTAAAAGATAATGATCATCATTTTTTACAAAACAACAGTTAACTGAACGAAAATATACTAGATACAATCTTCACAATATTTTCGAGTACAATTAACATATCAATAAATTATGATTAAATTGAATATATGATATTTTCTATTTTCAATGACAAATGTTCTCATATGAACTGAATTATTGAACACTTGATTTTATCATAGGATTCAGTTTCTGATAATTTCATTCTCATATATCTGTATAATTCAACTACGTGGTTACAAATAGAACAATCACAAATCTAATGAATAGAATAAAATGAAATGTTCAATAACACCAGCTTATGTAGAAAAGAACTGGCGCTACCCACTCGTCAGTCATATGAATAGAATTAAATAATTGAAATCAATTTCATAACTTGATATGGAACTGTCACATGTCTAATCCTGAGATGAAAAGAAAAAATTAAATGTAAACATTTTTCACTAAATATATCAGAAATTAATAATTGTGTTGTGTACATAACAAATCTGTTTGTTACAATATAATCCTAACATTCTTCTTCCATCATAGTTAATTAAAATACTTTTACAATTTTATTTTTCTTTATAAAACTTATATTAAATTTTAAAATAATGCCTATTTTCATAATTCTAATTCTTTTTTGACTGTTTTCAACAATTCACCTTTTTTTTTAAGTGCAAAATTTATGCCGGCAAATATTTGTTTTTATTCTCATATTTTGATCTATTTTATATATTTTTTTTTTCTGTTTTGAACTAGTGAACAAAAGCAGAAATATTTATATATATACATACACTGACAGTCACAAGACAAATAAAAATATTTCATGATGAATAAAAGAAAAAGAAAACAAATGCATGGATTCATTGCTCGAAAAAAGAAAAATGAGCACAGTTATTCCATATTATCGATCAGAATCGCCAGTATCAGCAGTTAGCATTTGATATAAAACTCGATCAGCCAAACAACCACGAATAAATTCTTCTTCTGTAATAACTCTAGAAGAAGACAAAGAAAAAGAAAATTCATACAGGAAAAAAAATATCAATCTATTTTATTTGATTTTTACCCATTTTTATCTTCATCCTATTGAAAAATACAAAAACAAAAATTATATTACTATTATAATTAAAAATTCTAATAAATATTACCATAATAGCAAATATTTGTGCTGTTCGACTTTCTGGTGTATCATAAGGATCACGACCTGTCATGCCACCATTCGATGCATTTTTTGTAATACCAGCACCGAGTAAATCATAGATTGACTGTATAGTAAATACAAAAAAAACAAAAAGAATATTATATTTTTATTTAAAGAATCATACTTCAATAATTCTAAGCATTTCTTGTCGATCAATACTTCCATTTGAATCAATATCATACATTTTGAAAGCCCATTTTAATTTCTTTTCAGGATTTCCTTTAGCTAAATATTTATTTTATTAATTAAACAATAAATCCTAAGAGTTCATTATTATATATATATATATATATACCTGTAATATTTATTGCCATTAGAAATTCCCTAGAAATAACGGAAAAAGAAAAAAAAAATGATAATTGTTATTCTATAAAATAGAGATTAATAATATCCTTAAGGCAAATAATAAACAAAAGCATTTAAAATATAAGAGATTAATCGAATATATTTATGAATAATAACAAAAAAATATATATAATGAATATTCTTACTTAAAATCAATTTTGCCTGAATTATCCGCATCGAATGTACGAAATATATGTGTACAAAATGCTTCAGCTTGCCCATTGGGAAAAAATTGACGATAGACTTGAATGAATTTTTTTCTTGTTAATTCACCATTAGGACAATCGAGCTAAAAAACATAATAGAAAAATTTTTCATTTTATATTAACCCTCGGATGACTTTTTTGGATCCAGTTGGATCTACATAATACCATTTTTTATTTCCTCCTACGCTATAACGTACTCTTTTTTGAGCTATCTCTTTTCTAAGCTTAGCTCTGAGAATTAGAAAAGAAATTGCTTAGGAAAGGATACATATTAACGTAGCAGGAAACGAAAAATGGTATTATGTGGATCCACAAAAATCATCCAAGGGTTAATACATAAAAATAAAATCAACATTAAAATTATACTTCATAAATGACAATTATCTATATTCATTTTTATACAAAGTAATTATTTCCTTCTTTTAATAGGAAAGATTATTTGTATCTTCTATTAAAAGACATGCTTTATCATTGTCAGTCAGGCAAAAAAAAAAACAGACAACATTTTATATTTCATGATATACATATAAAATCACTACCTACAATTCATTGTATACAGGATGTTTTTCTTTTAATGTTTATTATGATATTATAGAATTTATCTGAACTATAATTATATAAAAAAAAAGAAAATATCTTCATTGCAAATGTCTGTCAAATGAATTAGCAAATATGATGAGATTTCTGTAATCATAAACTTCTATGATGATTAATGCAGTTGTGTTTCTTGATTAGAAAGTTTATTCTCCATTTTTTAATCTAATACTAAGGAAAAAAATTTTCAAAAGCTTCATGTGAATTTTTACTAAATACATAACTATTTTTATTATCTTCTAATGTTTTATTATTGTCTCATATATATATATATGTCAAGTATTAATTTGTAATCTTCACATCTTTTAGGATGTAAAGAATATTAACATTAGTTGATGAATATAAGTATCATGAATAAATTTATTATTTTCTTTTTCCTTATTCTCTTCTTCTTGAATGATTAAAAAGCGAGACATTTGAATATCTTATTGTTTCCTTAATAGAAGAACTAAGATTATGACTAGTTATAAATAATAAGTGCATCGATCAAACGAAAATGTGATTGTAAATTTAAATACATTAATCGGTCTTCATTCTTTTCTTTTCAATGACATTTCCTTCTTTTTCTCTCTCTCTCTCTATATATATATATGTATTAGACTCATTTAGAAACTATAGGCAACCGACGTGATCCACGAACGAAAGACATCCTGAAAAGGGAGTCTCAGCAAAAAAAGAAAATCAGCTATTCAAATCATTTAGTTCTATTATCATGAGAAATCCTATAACGAAAGAATCAAAATCAATGGTTATTTTTAAAAGAAAAAAAAAAATAATGATTTGTATTTCATATTTCCCTTTATCGATTATTCTATATAGATACAAGTACAACTCTATTGATAATATACATATATGTTTATAATTTTTTTTTTCATTTAGGTAGACACAAAAAAAAAAAAAAATCATATTTCGATAAAGAGTCGGAGTCAGTTGGTCCGCATGTTCTGTTATTAGAGAAGTACGCCATATAAAAAAGGAAATAAACATGAGTAGAACACATGAGAAATTTGAACATTAGTCAGTTGCCATTTTTATTCCCTACAGAAAAAAAGCATTTTTTTATACTACTGATGAGCCATATGATTATTTGATGTATAGAGATGATTAAAAAAACTATATATATTCTTTTTTTTTTTGTTTTGTTTCTAAGATATTTTAAGTTTTATTTTTTTTTTCTTATAAAAATACTTACAATAAAACCTTCATACCATTCCATAATTTGATCTTTTGTAAATTCGGTATTTTCTTCAAGAAATTCTAAATCTGCTTTTGATAATTTCTTTTTAGATGGAACACAACCCATTCTTATGTTTTATTTGATTGATAATAAATAAAAAGCATTATTCAAACAAAAAAACATTGATTATGAATTGTTTGTTTATTTGTTTGATAGCGTTTTCAAATTGTTCTATTTTTAAAAAATAAAATAAAACAAACTAATCGACAGGTTTCTTCTTGTTCTCGTTTTGTTTTTTTTTTATGTACTCTATCTATCAATGAATGTTATGATGATTTTCTCTCTTTCGCTATTTCCTCCTTGGCTTCTCGTTTCTCTTATGTTTTTTTTTTACTGATAGCGAAAAAAAGAAAGAGAAAAACTATGTAGCCGAAACAATATGGAGGTCGTAACGGACGGATGAATGAATTTCTCTCAATAACATTCATAATTCAATTGGCAAATACATATATTACTCGTTGTTGTTGTCATCATCATCATCATCATCCGTTCAGTTCCTATTGCTTTTTCTTTTTAATGATGCCACAAGCGAACGACAATTTTTCAACGATCTAGACTATAGAAATAAGATGTATACTTGATATGATTAACAAAGTTCACTAATATTTAGATAAAATGAAGTTTTTCTTTTCTTTTTTTTTTTTTTGTCAATATCGATTATTGATAATAAAAAAAAAAAACCTAATTCTTTTCTCTTTTTAGAATATAACGACAGTAGATATAATTTATTTTGACATTTAAAAAATATTATTTAATTTTTATAGTTGATCAATGTTTAATTCTAGTAGACTTTGATATAATTAAGAAACTATCAAAAAAAAAAACTAGAATATTTTATTCAAGTAACAATCAAATAGATAATCTTATCATCTATACAACGAAAATATAAACTAAGTAGGTCAATAAGACCTTTCTATTCATTGCCATTCATTAAAAGCATCTTTATAATAATAGAATAATATCATAAAATATTCATCTATTAGACTATTTTATATCTGAATCCATTAAGATGAATATCACGTTTCTAATTATATAATTAAAAGAAAATATTGTATTGAAAATAAAATATGTTCTTAATGTCAACATACTACAGTTTGATTAATATGTGTATATATTATTAACAACGAGTGTGAAGTAGATTAAATTGCCCACGTTTGTAAGACTTATTTCTTGAATTAAACTGAAACAGCACGTTTTGTTCTGATGATTAAATATAAAGAATTTTGTTAAGATTTTATTGATATGTTTTTTTTTTGTTAAATAATTTTGGACTTAAAAGTTATTGAATACCATAAAAAAAAACATCACTTGCTTACAAGGAAACTATCTGAACTGATGCTCGTTGTTTAAACTCATATTGGATCCACACGAAGTTTATAGTAAGATTAGAAAAATTGTAAAAGGATTCGTATCCATGCGCGCCTCTCAAGTCGATTTATGACCGTTTTAGTCAAATCTCGCTCATAAACAGGTCTAATGACTCTGAGAAAGTCCTGAAAGTTTCTGTAGAAAAGAATGTTTCTTTGTCAAGATATTGAATTTTCAAGTAAACTCAATTTTTTTGACAAACGATTCTTTTTTTTTTGTAAATTCAATATCTCAATAAAAGAATATTCTCTTCGACTGAAACTTTCAGGATATTCCCAATATCATCAAACCTATTTATGAACAAAAATGTTCAATAATTTCTTTATTCTGTATTCAAACAGACTATGAAAATGTTCAAGAGAACCCATCGCATTCTTCTAATGCGTAAGCATCTCTTTGTTTTTTTTTAGTTGCAAAACCAAAATTCTTGAATTGGGTTATGTTATTTCGAAATTCAATTACAAAATATGCCGAATTATTTACTTTTCGCACAATTTTGTATTGATGAAAATATTTCAGCTTTCTTATTTGATGAGAAAAAGAGCTCGATCTGTATGAGCTTGTAATTCTGCATTTGTTTACATAAAAACAATAAGTTTTTATAAGGATAAGTTCTGAGAAAATTCCTTGGAAAAAGTAGGACTTCCTGATCTGTTGAATATCTTATTGATGTTTTTTTTTAAAGTTTTCACAGAAAAAGTAAATTAGCTGATCGAACCAAATGCATTTTGAATCCAATCTACTAGGATGAAAATAGTTTTTTTATCTTTAAATAGCTTCAAAATTTCAATAAATGTCAAGTACTTCGGATTTTTATTGGCATCCAAAAATTCAATACAATAACTAATTTGATTTCTTCTCGTGAAACACAAGAAAATATATTGTTATAAATACACTGAATCCGATATATATAAAAGCAAGAATGTTGAACTGAATATATTTTTAGAAAAGTAGTTTTGTTTAAAATAACATAATTTTCGATAATTTAACATGCATAATAAAGACGATCTATTCTAATTTATTTGAATGTTTGAATTTATTATTATTTTTTTAATAACATATAAAACATTTTTGGTATGACCTTTTACAATGGATTCTTGTATAACCACAGATTGACTCTAACAAGTAATTACTCATGAAATTGATATTACATATTGCGATTAAGAAATAAATTCTGATATTAGAGTTAGATCTATTGATAATTACATTCATCAATATTCCTTAATGATTTCTTCTACACTGATGCAAATATTCAAAAACAAATATTGAATGCGTCAGAATCAATGAATCTCTCGATATTTTCTCAATAACTCTATCAATTTCAATAATTACGAACTAAGTTTCATCTTCAAAGACTCAGCGTTTAATTCTTTACCATAGCATACACAAAAGACAAAACAACATTTGTACGAATACTGCAAGCATATACTTTTAACAACTTTCTAGCGTAAAATTCAGTTTCTCACGTTTAGATATCAAATAGTGGAACTAGTCATTTTGCAGGACTCAAATTCTTCCAAAAAAACTATTTTGGCGTTCTAATATCTCATATTCTTGAAAAATTTCTGTCACTTAATCATAAATTCTTTTTTTCGGAGTGCAACTTGTTTTTATTTAAGACCCCGCTGAAAAACCGATTTCAGTTCAGGAACATTTAAATGGCATGAAATTTTCAAGATATGTTGCGGATATAGTGGAGAAGCTATGGTAAAATTTTCAGCTCGATATCATTAAGTTTGACAGAGATATTGGTGAAATAAGGATCAAAAATAGTTCATTTGATAAACCAAATTTCTCTGTTCAGATTCATTCTATACATTTTATTCTTCTTTTTATTTGAATGAACATGTCACAATGCAGTGTATTACAGAGCCTTTTTTGTTTAAATTCATACTTCTTAAGGGATCGAAAGTTCAATGACTCAAAAAACTCTCTAAAGATGATGCTCTAATTATATAAATGTTTGCATATATATAGCAAAAGCGAAGCTTAATCAAGAAAAAAAGGGCTCTGTACTACACTGGGCCTTGACATGCTCTTGCAAATAAATAAAAAATATATATATAGAATGAGTATTGACAGAGACATTTGGAGCTCGCGATCAAGAAACTATAAATGGAAAAAAAAACCAGATGTCAAGTAAAAATTTTTGCCGTTTATGAGAGATCAGATCACAGGCTGTCTTTCCATGCATTTATCTTCATTTCGATCATTCTAAGGAAAAGGAACTTTTTTGTTTTGAGAGGTGCTTAGAAGCTACTGAATCATGCTATAGAAGGCTATTTGATTCGGAATATAGACTGAATCAAACCGAGTTTTACTGATTCGAGCTCGACTCGATTTCTGATTCCGAATAAATACCTTTTCCTATCGATAAGATTCTAGAAAAAAAGCTATTAAATTTAGTGCAATCCATGCGAGATTAAAGTGTGAAACGTGACATGATTACTAATGCTAATTAGAGGGAAATTATTTTATTCTATCTATCTTGAGAGACATTTCGTCACCATCCTTTTATTTAATCCTCCAGAAATTTAATAAGGAAATGGCTCACATATTATAGCGAGACTTTATCAATAACATCTGTCACAGTCTGTGACGCGCGAGAGACGGAAGGGGATGAAGCGTTGCTAAGGCATCTGGCACGGTCTGTGATGAAGAAGAGACACTGATGAGGACATCTGAGAGTCCGAATTTCTACTCTTAAATGTTTTATAAGTGGGAAGAAAGCGCAAATCAATTTGTATATTTGTGCTCGAACTATCAACTATATATATCTCCATGAATGAATTGGATTTGTTGTCCTAATGTTATGATTTTGTTTATTTTAACATATCACTTTGGTAGTCTCTATTTGATCAGTGATAATAAAGAATCTCGCGATTATTATGTCAATTGATGTGGTAACATAGAATATTTATTCTTTTTTATTGAAAATATATCGAGTCCAATTAGAATCACAAGGAATTTGTGGTTCATGCCATTGAGATGGAATTATATTATCTAAAGAAGTAATATGAGTAGTTGAATATTGATCCCATGTTTGTCGAATTTTTATTAAATTATTTATATTTTGATGAGCTTGTAGAAAATCTTGAGCATCAGAATTTGTTGATTCATAAAATGATTGATTATTATTATTAAATAGATAATTATATAATTCTATATCAGAAGATTGAGATTGTTTTTTAATTTCAATTTTATATTCATCTAATTTAGTAGTACATATATTTTCAATTTCTATTAATTCATCATCAGTATTATTAGTCGTTGTAATAATATTAATATTATCTTGTTGTCGTTTTTGACGTATATATTTTAATTTTTCAATAGTTTGAAGTATTGACTTAATATCTTGAATTTTTTCAATAAAAGATTTTTCATTTATTAGTTTTTCTTCAATAATATTATTTTTATTTGGAATTAATTTTTTTTCTTTTTGTCGACGAAGACGAGCACGTTTTAATTTTCGTTGATAAATTTGTTTTTGAATATTTTGAATAATATTACAATCATATATAAAATTATTTGATTGTTCAATTTGAATTTTTAATTCAAATAAAATTTTATGATTAAAATTTTTTAATGCATTATCATATTGTTGAAGAAGATGAGCATGTTGAATTAATTTCTGACGATAATCAGATAATGTAATTCGATTAGAAGATAATTGTTTTTGTTCTTTTTTTCTTTCAAACCAAGGTTTTAACCATTCTTGATCAGTTTTTGATTGTTGAAGTATTTTTAAACCTTCATTTATTATGGATTCACGAGTAGGTATTGGTGGAGGTGGATAATTTGGAAAAAATAAATTATAAGGTTGCATTGTTCTTTTTGTAATTGATAATCTACAATTAATCGATTGATTTATCATGAGAAAACAAAAAAAAATTCGAAATCAAGGAAATGAAATATCAAGCTCTTTGATGAATAAATATAATAGCTACCAAAATTGTTCAATAAAGTTTATTATCAATTTTTTTGTCCAAAATCTTAAAAGCTCAAAATAGAGAAGGTTGTTTAAAAAAAAGGTTATAAATAAATAAATATGAATGCTTAAATTCTTAAAGATGAGCTGTTCAGAAAACTAAAACCCTAGTTTTTCAGCACTTAGAACACGGAAATATAATTTCTTCAGACTATATGGAACAATAGAACAAACGATTCTCTACAAAATAAGATGTCTCCGAGTGCTGTATGCTGGTTTTTGACTGTGATACAGCAATTTAATTGAAGATCTGAAAATGATTTTCCTATAGGAAATAGTAAACAATCGATTGTAGGAACTTCTGTAAGATTGCTATATCTTATCAAAAAAAGCTTTCCATAGAGAGCTCGGAAGCGTTTCATTTTGTAAAGAACTGTTTGTTCTGTCGTTTCGTGTAGCCTGAACAGAATTATATTTGCACATTCTAAGTGCTGAAACACTAAGTTTTCGGTTTTCTGGAGACTTCGTCTTTGGAAATTTAAGAACTAATTTTTATTTCTTAATATTCTACAACCACTATGGCTGAATGGTTACGTTGCTTATTTGTCTCGGAGTACCTATTCGATAGCATGCTGATTAAGCCTGCTCTTGTAGCTAGTTAGTATGCAGGAGGAGGTCAAGAGATTGAACGCAAGAACTCTGCATCAGGCCGGCCTTCTGTCTAGAGCTACGGAGAGTATCTGTTGTAGGGGAGATATCGTGAAAGGCAGAGGTATTCTTCTTTCTTCCTTCTTTTTGGACATTCTTGCTGTGAATAATTTTTTGTACTAGAATTATTATTAGGATTTTTTTTAGCGTTTAAGATTACAGAGAAAAATTGATAATAAACATTGCTGAACAGTTTTATATGAATTAAAGAAACTGATATCAATCATCGTACTTTTCTTCGTGTTTTATACTCTTTCATAAGATCCGACAGTTCTATTTCAATTCATGCTAAGTTGTGCAGATATAAACACAATCTGTACTTTCATCTACTCATGCATTTCCATCAATAAGATATGTACTCTCATTACTCTATACATTGAACGTCAGTATGGGTATGTGCGGTGATCCTCTCTTTACCCACATCGGATACATAGGGTTGTGAAAGTAAATATATCAGAATACATGAGACTAGACACTATAGATTCTAGATTTCAGGGTACCATATATAGGATGACGAGAGTACATCACAGTTCATAACAGTATTGATTGCACAAGGTATGAATATCACGATTTGATGATGTGTATTTTGTATTTCTCAGCAGACATTGTATGAAAATATATTTTGATTAGAATTCATGGCATGTGAAGGTTGTTGAAAGAGATTATGATATACTTATGTATACATTAGTCGAAATTAATGATAAAACTATTTCGAATACCGAAAATATCTAAGAAAAATAAGTATTGGCACAGATCGTAATATCTTGTTTAACTTGTTTGAAATCTCGAATGCAGATTAAACGATGTTTGAAGACGATTTAACCATGATATATGTTTAAAACTAAAGAGTAAGAGATAAATGAATCTACATTTACTATGCTACGTATTGATTATTTTTATTATTTTTCAATAGATTTGAAATATACACTTGTCACATTCTGCATACAAATACCCAGTCTTGTTTCGTATTTTTCTAACATCGAAGAGAAAAGAAAATCTATTGCCCGCTTATCAGTTTATTGAGAAAAATATTTTAACAAGTAAAATATAATAAAAATGGCAGAAGCAATTCGTATGTGAGAGAGAGAGAGAGAGAAAACAATAGATCATATATTGAGTATTATCTTTAGGAATTTTGAATCAACCATCATAAATAGAACTTATCGCAAACAATGATCGTACTTAAATAGAAATTTTTTTTTTCTAAACTATAATTAAGTACAATTAAATTTCATAAAATATATTCAACCGAACTAATTACTTTCATATAGTTAATAATGATAAGTTTCAATCACAATTATTCAGTAATATTTCCTGTCCAGAAAATGGTGAATCTGGTGTAGAAGGTTGAAAATTAAAATTTCCATGTATAGGTGTCATTACATCATCTGTATCTGATGAATATCCAATTAAATCCGTTCCAAAATATCGATCACCAAAATTACCCAAACCAGGACATATAAAACCAGTATTTTGATCGAGTTGAGTATCGCATGCTGTTGTCACTATTTTTACTTTTGGAAATGCATAAGCTACTGTTTGAACTCCTGGATAAATTAATCAATTAAAAAAAAAACAGTTAGCACAATCCCTATGGGATTAAAATGTCAAAACACAATGTAATGTTCATATAGTTATAAAGACATGTTATTCAAATAGGATGATGGAAAAAAAGTTTGACAACAACATATTTTTGATTTTTTTTAAATATCTAAATTGTGATTTTAATAGTCAATGGAGTTTTCTTTTATCAAGATTTCATAGATGAACTATCATGGCAAGGTTTCTAAAAAGGTGGGTTTTCAGGTCACAGAAGATTTTTTCGGAGCTATTTTTAACAATGCTATTTTAACGAGCATGAAATTCTGAATAAGAGGATGGATTGCTCCATTTTCTACGATCTTCCTTTAAAAAGTTAAAAGTATCACAAAAACAAACTTTACTAAAAATCGACTAAAAACACCTTTTTTCGGTTTTTGTGATACTTGTAACTTTTTAAAGAAAGGTCATAGAAAATGTAACAACCCCTCATTTTGTTCAGAATTTTGTGCTCTTCAAAATGACATTGTTATAAAATAACTTCGATAAAGTCTTCTGGGACCTAAAAACTACCATGTCCGATTTTTTAGAAACCTTACATTTATAGTTCATCTATGAAATCTTGATAAAAGAAAACTTCATTGGCTATCTGCATTTGAACTAATTGCTTAATATTATAGAAAAAAATCAAAATATTATTAAACTTTTTCTACCATCTTACGATCTGTAATCATATATGGAGTCCGTCGTATCCAAAATTTTCGAGTTCGATCGAACTGCATTTTGATACTTTCAATGAAATTTTCTAATCGAAATTGGATAGAGTCGTTCCGAAGATATGAGATACTTTTTTCTTCGGCTTTTTATACTCAACAACTAGCGTACCTTACAGGACGAACCCAACAGGATCTAATCGTATATCAACAACGTATGTGGTGAGAGAATGTCGAAATTTTAAATCATATTTCACAAAAGATTGAAATATCAACGAACCTTGTTTTGATACTAATAATGAAAGTAGAGCAATTTTATCTTCGGAAACATTATGATCCAATAAAACTCGTATAGCCATTAATGCAGCTGCTCCAGTTGCTATTAAAAATAATAAATATATATCTAATAATATAAAAGAATATCGAAAGATCATTATATACCAATAGTCGCATCGAGAATTAATACATAAGCATTGGCAATATCACGAGGTAATCGAAGAAAATGAAGCTAATTATTTAAAATATTAAATCAGAAAACAAAAAAATAAAAAGAAATAGATTTCTATATATTTACTTCTGGTTCACCAGTTAATTGATTTGTTTGAATTAATATCTTACCAATTTTAGCATCTTTATGTACTTCAATTAATGCAGGTTCTAAACATTCACCAGCTCGAACTATAGATACACCACAAATCTATATATACATATCCAATAAATATTCATATGATAGGTTTTTTTGAAATTTACTTCCGTGTATACATGTTTCTTTCCTTCATACAAAAGTTTTTGTGGTGTTTCAACAATAACATCCTAAATAAAAAACAAAAAAAGTCATTTAAATTAATAATAAAAAAATCTATTAAAAATTACTTCAAATGGTAATAAAGATAGAGCATATTCGATTAATATTCGCATAAGACGTTTTGAATAAAAAATAAATTCATCACGATCAGTATCTTTATTTCTTAATACAAAAACAAAAAAAAATCAACAAAATCAATAAGATGAATAATTATTTGAATTACCTAATTATTGTATGAAGATATTTTATTTGTGCTGTTTGTTCAACAAGATAAAATGTTTCAGGCATTGATAAACTGCACATAAAATCAAATCTATGAACAAGTTCATTTCGAAGTTTTACACCACGCTGATAGAGTAATTAAAATAGAAATAGAAAGATATCATAGCATGTGTTGTTGTTTTTTTTTGATTCTTTACTTTTTGAAGTTCTCGATTGACATGGCGTACAATTAAATCAATCGCTATTCGATTTTCACCACCTAGAATTATAATAAATGTTTATGAATTCAATTTTTCAAGATTCAGAAAGTCAATTTTATATGAATATGTAAAAGATTTTCATAGACTCTTCAGATCTCAACCATTATAAAGATTGAGAGGATGAGTGTGGGTATGGCTATTCTCTAAAAGGTGTTTTATAATAACTGAGAATAAATTATCAATAACATTTTTTTATACTTTTTCTCTACATAAAGGGATGAAATTTTTATTACATACATATCTAACTAAGATCTCTAATTTTCCAAAGTTTCAGCTTTGTGCCTAAAAGTAATACTGAAATGCATAGATAACATTGAAATACATAAATTTTCGTACTTGATTTTAGGGATATCTTTATATCTTGACTATTATCCGTTTCAAAATAGAATGAACTGAATGTAAATTGAATAACTTTTGATAAGAACAACATAGAGAGCTGCGGTTTTCACCGTTGGAAAGAGGAGAATCGGGGCTATAGAATGATGTGAAAATTGATTGGTTCGACAATTGACCAATGAGATAAATTCTTGTTAGACATTTTGAAAACAAAATAGGGAAGGTATTTTCCATTCGATTTTTACTTTTTATATGATGATTCGATAGAAAAAATTGTTTCCTTTCGATCTACACAAGGCCGTGATCTCTAGCTTG